GGGGAGAGCTGGGGTGCCATGTGGAGGTGGGGGTGCTGTGTGGAAAGCTGGGGTTCCACTGGAGCGCTGGGGTGCCATGTGGAAGATGGGGGCAGGGCTCTATGTGGACAGCAGGTGCCTCTCAACCCTTTTTGAGACCGGGAAGAAACCAGGGTCTGGCTGTTTCTTACACTTTTCGGAGCCTCTTGGGCCCTCAGAGCCCTAATTAAATGCCTTGCTCTCAAGTTCCCCTCCTCCAGCTCCCATGGCACAGCCTGTTCCTGTATGCCTGCCACTGGCCCCAAAGCCTGATTAGATGGGACTAAATGGCCCTGGGCAGATGGCAGCTCCGGCTCAGGTGGGCAGATGTGTACCAGTGGCTGGAGGACAGGCAGGGCGCGCGGTCTCTTGTACAGCAGTGAACGCTGGGAGCCCTGCTGTGGAACAAGCCTCAGTGGCTGATGGCATCCCTCAGGGAGCCAGCCCTGCCTCAGCCCAGCTGTCCCCTCTGATGTCTCCTTGTCTCCAGGGGATGGGACGAGGAAGTGACGAGGGGCGGACCCACAGCTCCTGAACCCAATCCCACTCCTCTCCAAGGGCCAGTTTTGCCTTTTGTTATTTTCAATGTACTGAAAAGCCAGTGGCAGACAGTTGATGAGGTCTGTACCTCAGATTTTAGGACTGTCTGTTACCATGTCTCCTAGGGTCTCCTGGGAGGGTGGAGAAATCTGTAGGATCGGGGCATGGTGGCATGTCTCCTACATGGAAGACAGGGTTTGGAGTTGAGAGGTTGAGAGAGGATTTATAGTGTTGGAAGACACCAGTTGTGCTGAGTTCCCACGTTCACATCTATCCAGCGTGACCCTGACCTTGCAGGGTGTTTGTGCCAGCCTGCTGCAGGCTCCCGAGAGCAAGCAGCACAATGCTGATGGGGAAGTGACTCCTTGCCTAGAGACAGCCTGCAGGGGCTGGGGACAGGTTGGAGCCCCAAGGCTCTGCTTGGGCATATCCAGAAGGCTTCCTGGAGGAGAAAGTGAGAGCATGGAGCCTGAAGGACCAGGGCCCTCTCAGAACACATGGAGCTTTTGTTAAAGGCATTCTACCAGATGCTTGGGAAAGATAGGCGCGAGCACAGTTCAGACCACCACAGAGGTCACAAGGAGCTAAATGCTGTGTGTGTGCACTGCGTGTGTGGTGTACACACACTACACCCATGCACACACAGCACCCGTCACGTGAACGTCTCTGTGCATGCACACAGAATGTAGGAAACCACACACATGCACCCATGCACACACAGTACCCACAAACCATAGGCACAGACATGTGCATACATACATTATACAGATGCATGCACAGTACCCCCTACATCTTTGCTCACACAGTGCAGAACACACCATGCACATACACATGCAGACACAGTACCTCACCCACTGCCACACAATGTACATGTAGAACCATACAGAACCACACATACATACTACACGCATTCACATACACCTTGGGTTTAGATAAGGTCACGTCTGGGAGTCTGCTCTTGTGCAGGCATGGCCGAGCTGGAGCTTACCTGCCATGGAGATGACTGGATGGCTAGCTGGACACTGGCCTGGGAGTTTGCTGTAGGCACAGTGACAGGACTGACAGCATGAGGAGCCGTTTTGCTTCCACACCTGGCAGGACTGACAGGGGAGGGTGGGAGCTGGGGGCTGGCCTGCCTCCTGGGAGCCGCTGAAAGACAGCTACCTGCAGCTGGTCCTAACCCAGGGGTGGATGTCTGCTCAATGCGGCATTTCCCAGAGCCCATTCCCTTTGTGCCACACTCTTGGGCTGCTCATCTGTCTCAGCCTCATCTGAAAAGTCACCAAGCTCCCTCATGCCTCATTCTCTACAGGATAGGCCAGGAAGCAGAGCACACCCTCTCCACGCGATTCCTAGCCTGTGCCTGCCCCAGCCCTTCTGGCTGTCCCTGCAGCTCAGTACTGCTATGGTGTGCTGTGGTCTAGGATGGACCACACTCCTACATCTAGCAGGCCAGTCTAGTCATGGTGCTTCCATTGTCCCCCTCACCTTCCTTGTGAAGATGGTCCTAGGTTAAGGACTGTGGCAAGGATTCGAAGGCATGATGGATGTAGAAAGCCCAGTGTGGTATCAGGAACACAATTCTCTAATATACCTGTGTATATTAGTTTGCTTTCTTTTGTTATGATAAATGCCCTGGCCAAAAGCAGCTTGTGGGGAGGAAAGTGTTCATTTCCACTTCCAGGTCACAGTTCTTCTGTGAGCAAAGCCAGGGCAGGAACCTGGAGGCAGGAACCACGGAGGAATGCCACTCACTGGTTTTCTTTCTTGCCCAGCTCAGGCCCACCTGCTAGGGATGACTCTGCCTGTAGTGGACTCTCCACATTAAATGTCATTAAGAGAATTTCACAGACACGGCTCCAGGCCAGTCAGATCTGGAAAGTCTCTTCCCAGATAACTCTTGGTTGTATCAAGTTAACAATACAACCTACCAGGACTCCACGGTCCTTTACTTGGTGTGCAGCCTGGGGAAGTCCTTAGCTTCATGGAGCCTCAGTCTCCTTGTCCCTAAAGTGAGGACAATCATAGCTCTTGGTTCAGGGGCTGCTAGGGGATGAGGCTGGCACCCTTCTGGGTCTCCAGCTAGAGCTAGCTCCAGAGATGCCTAGATGGGGCTGTTGGAGGGAGAAGCAGCAATATCAACACCAGGATCTGCAACCCAACACCCAGCCCCAAGGGGCCTTGAGACCGTTCCCTGCCTTGCTCAGCTGGGGTGTGACCTAATGTAGAGGAAGACCCCTGCCTGGGTCCTCCATGCACTTTGCAGTTCATGTCCCCACCTATCTTAAGCATCACTCAGGAGGGATGTCATGCCTTCTAGCTGAGATGTCACTCTTATTTCCATCACTCCAAACAGAGCATAAAATCCAGGAGGCTGAAGGATACAGCACCTGAACCCAGCCCCGCTTTGGGCTGCTTCCTCTTGGTAGCCTAGCCAGCAACTAGGAAAATGCAGAGCAGCCAACACTGTCATGGGTGCCCAGCGAGTCCCACACACAGCAGCTCCTTCCTGCTTCTCTGTAGCCATGCCCAGCTCTCCATGGTGTTTGCTCTGTCTGCAGCTGGGAAGTCTGTGACAGGGCTCCTCAAGCTACTCACTTCCCTGAGGTCCAAGTGCATGAGGACAAAGATTGATCCGTTCCTTCCCCATCTTCTAATTGCACTCTGCTGAAGGAGGAGCCTCAGGACCCGAATCTTAACCGTGTGCTGTGGACCTGAGTACTTCCCATCCTTGTAGCCACCTGCTGGGATTCCTGAAAGACTCAGCAAGAGACAGAGAGCTAATAATGGCAGATGCAAGGGTAATAGCAAGAGTAATAGCAGCAGCAAGTCCCTGGGAAACATGGCATTTAAGAGTAAGGAAGGCTTGTGGTAGTAACAGAAGTAAAAGAATATCAAGAGTCCAGTGGGTTCTAGATGCTTTCCATCCTGAGAGAAGAGGATGACAGACTGGCAAAAATGAGGAAAAGCAAGTGAGGCTGGATGGACAGGGAGGGGTGGATGGACAGGGATGGGTGGATGGACAGGGAGGGATGGACAGGGAGGGAGGGAGGGATAGGGAGGGAGGGATGGATGGACAGGGATGGGTGGAATGGATGGACAGGGATGGGTGGATGGATGGGTGGGTGGGTGGATGGATTCATGGCTGGATGAGTGGGTGGGTTGGTGGATGGGTGGATGGATGGATGGGTGATGATGGATGGATGGATGGATGGATGATAGAGGATGGATGGGTGATGGGTAATGGATGATGGACAGCCATGGATTAATGGACGGATTTTGGATAGATGATAGAAGATGGATAATAGATGCATGGTTAGGTGGATGAATGATGACTAGATGATGGACGATAGATGGGTGGGTATGGAAAGTTGATGGCTGGGTAGATAATGGATGATGGACTGATAGAAGGGCAGGTGATGGGTAGAAGAATGGAGGACCAGGCGTGGTGGCACACACCTATAATTCCAGCACTTGGGAAGCCGAGACAAGAGGATCTCAAGTTCAAGGACAGTTGGGCTGTATCAGTGGATGACATATGGACCCATGAGGAGATGACCAGATAATGGATGTCTGGATGGTATGTAGTGTTAGTTGAGTTTGTGAAGGGAGAAAAGATAGTACCCAGACCTTAGTTCTGATGTTGAGGTGAAGGTAAATAAAGAAGGTATATGGGTCCCCTAACTAGGAACACCACAAAGCCAAGGTCTCCAACCTGGCAGCTCAGGGCTCTGAGCTTGTATTAGAAGCAAGTGGGCATGTGCAGACAGGTGATCCAGGGCTGCATGGAGGTGCTCGTCCTTTCCTCTGGTTTCTGAAAGGTCAATCCCAGGTTCTGGACACTTGGACCTGAGGCATCTCGAGCTTCCAGCCTCATAAGAAGAGACATTTTCTTTAGCGCTGGCTACCGATCCCGCCATGGTGGAGCAAATGCACTGAGATGTCCAGACTAAAGCCTGACAGAATTGGGCCAGAGGTTTCAGACACAGGCCAGGTCGGCTGACTGCATTAAACACTGTGACCTTTCTCCTGGGCTAGGCTGGGCTCGTTTTAAATGGCAATTTGATCAGCTGGAACCAGGAGCAGACCAGCCATTGCCCAGGATGACCCCCTAACCTGCCAGTCAGTCTGGGCATTGCCTCTCCAGCCATGGCTGACTGTCTGCACCCTCAGGGTGGCCATGGCCTTGGCTGCACTCCCTGGTGGAGGGTGCAGACTCCTAGATCTGGGGCCAGAGTTATCTTTGGTTTCTGACTGCTAGCCCCATGGTCACTCTACTGTGGATCCCATCTCTAGCCCACAGTGCCCTCCAGAAAAGGAGAGTCTGACTCCTGTGTCAGCAGTCCCCACGTATAGATCAGGGAAGAAGGGAGGGTCCACGGCCTGGCTGACACCATGTGGCGAGGACAGGCGTTTGACACAGGCCCACTTGCAGGAACAGGTGGAGGGCCGCCTGGGAGGCGCATCTTTGCTTTATTCAGTCAGGCTTGAGGGAAGATGTGTGGGTAGAGGTGAAGAGCCGAGATACTGCCACACAGAGGCGTCCTTTTAAACTCCCCACCGTTCTCAGAGGAAGGGTCTTCGTACGACGCACCCCAGCAGCAGATATGTGGTGCCTTGTTTCCTTCCTATGTTCCTTCTGGTCTCTCTTCAGTGGTCTAAAGTGCCAGTCCCAAAAGAGAAGGGTGAAGACTTCATAGATAACCAAGGTTTCCTGGGGACAATGCAGCATGATCCTGTGGAGCAGGGCAGGGACTGGTCCATGCCTACAGGGCAGAGACATGCCAGCCCCTCACTAGGCCCCAGATTCCCTCCTGGCGGGGAAGTCTTGCTCATACCAGTAGAGGCCTGTTCATATTACAGCTATTTCCCAGGTCCCAGCCTTGATTTGCCTTCCAAGCATTCTTAGAACCTTTCTGGGGCTCACTTAGGACCCTGTCTCCTTCTTGCCTCTCAGCAGACCAAACCACTCTGACTCTGGGAGCCTGGCCCATGGGCAGGTCCACTGTCTGCACCCAGCTACTTGGAGTGGCCCAGCTGCTCAGTGTTGCCTTGAGCAGACACTCCAGTCTCCAGGATTGGGGCCCTCTATTTATAGATCTCTGACTGGATCCCTTTCTTCCTCTCTCCACACCCAGCCTTCTCGTTCTCAGAGGTAGGAGTAGAGGAGACTGGAGGTGGAACTCCGTTGATAGAGTGCTTGCCTGGTATGCACAAGGCCCTGGGTCTGGTCCCCAGTACCGTATAAACCAGGCATAGTGGTACTTAGCTACGATCCCAGTATGAAGATCAGAAATTCAAGGTCATTCACAGTGAGATAGCAAGTTTAAGGCCAGCAAGGGATATATGACCCCCTAGCTTAACAAACACACATGTAGGATGGAAATGACCTTTGTTTTCTAGAGGTGCAGAGGGGCATCCTGGGCCCTCGCTCTGCTGCTATGTGGCAGTGAGCCCCAGCCTGTGTCCATGCAGCTCCATGGGCTGTGGAGAATGGACTCATGTGGGGTATTGGCAGCTAGTGTCTGTGGTATTGTTGGAGGTGGTGACCCACAGTGACCACAGGCCCCAGCCAGTGTGGGCACTGGGCTATGGGTGGCCAGAGGCTTTGGGCTGGGAGCCATGGTCCTTTGGAGCTGCCTCCACTCCCCATTCTCCACGGGCCAGGGTGAGGCCAGAGAGCCTCCCATACAGCCCTCCTTCCCCCCTCCAGTTCGCCTTAATTTTAATTCCCTTTAATCTTTAATGAAAAGTTGTAAAAGTAAATTATGTATCCAGGAGAGGCAGACGCTCCTCAGGAACTGTTGTCAACTTGAGGGTAATTACACATGTAGGTCTCGAGCAGCCTCCATACTGTAGAGAGGCATTCTGGTTTATGAACTAATTAGCTACCTTATTAACTGTTTTTTTTTTAAAAAAACATGTGCTATTTGATGAATGGAGCACGTGGTACAAGCTCCCCAAAGCTCAGGTCCTGGTGGGGCCTGGTCCCTTTCAGGCCACTGCAGCCTTGTGCTGTAATAGTCTGGGGCTGGCTACCTGGATCCCCTGACCTTCCTGCCACCTCTCTACCTCTGAGCCTGTCTTGGCTCCAGTGTACTGATTAGGCCACCTTCCCAGCAGCATGAGGCCCCGGAGTGCAGGTGCACAAGTGGCTGTGTGTTGACATCACCGCCCCAGGTCACAC